CGGAGACTCCTGGAATTCTCCCGGAGCGGAGACTTGACATACAGTTGAGATTTCTTTACAACTGCAAATAGCACTTGTAGGAATCTTGAGTCACAGTTGGCAGTCTTATGAAACTGAGGCTCGAGTCACTGCTGGGAGCCTTAAGAAGCTGAAGGAGTCACTTCTAGATATACCCTGACTGGATAAACATCAAGAACTAAAAAGCACAATACCCTGACTGGAACAAGACACAAATAACCCGCACGTAGGAGAGAGGAAAGCTTATGACGGCGTTTCGGTCAGCCCAAAACGGACTGAAACGTTGTCATAATCTTTTCTCTCACTAATTTGTGAGTAATTTGTGTATGACCGAACATCTCTTGCATAGCATGTTGTGTGTTAGTGACATCTTACCAATAGCTATTATGAGCATTTTAACATGGTAAGGATAATGTTATACATAACAAATCTAAGGCTGATATTTATCATTTTCATATACCTTCAGAAGCTTTATAACATCCGTGCCAAGATACTTCAGGAAATCGCCAATTTCAGCGCCAAGATACATCTGGAACATCAGCGCTAAGATAAGATGGTGATAAGTCTTCATTACACCACTGCAGATGGTGATTAGTCTTGCGGTGAGAAAAAAGGTACACTGGTATTTCTTGATAGTGTTATAGACACTCCTTGGTCCCAAACCTTGACTCAAGCTACAAGTACCTTTGCCTGAACTTAAAACGCAACTTAGTTTGTATAAATCTAATATTAAACATAGCCAGAGACTGGTAATAGGGAGCTTCTTCCTTGCTGAGTTCAGGAACTGTGCACACGTAACAAGTGAAGACCAATCTTGGCTTTCTTCTGAGCACTTGAAGAAATTATATATTTTACACCTCTGACGTTAGCTCCTCTCCGCCATATGGCTTTATACGACTCACGCGGCTCTGGTGCCCTTTTGGGAATATAATAATAACAAGTGAGGGACAGGAGCCATAACTAGCAGACACACTTGGCATCAAAACATAGCCATCACGTCGCCACTCTTACAGAGTACATAAACCCCGAGGCAAAAGTAATGTTTCAGCCAGTGTTTTTGTCCAGTCTGCCAATGAGTCTTGGCTACCGCCTTGCCGAACTTCCTACCCCAATAAGCACACAAAAAGTAATTTACTATGCCTGGTTATCAGCAGGGGTATTCTGTAGATTATGGTGAGCGTTCATCTCTAAAGTCAGCAGCAGCTAGTGGGTGTTGGCACGGTAGCTTGGCTAGAGCACCTTGTTCTCGTAGACACGCCCTACTTCACCCACCTTCTTCCTATCTCTATGCCCTAAATTCCAATACTTTCGTATTCCTTCTTACGCTCACATCCTATGTTTCGTTTGTACAGTATGCGTTGTCTTCGGTGGTTCCCGGACGTGATCTTGTCAACTGGTAGGTTAAGTCTCTCGCCCTTACTGACAGTCTCTGTGCTGCATTGTTGCCCTGTGTTGGGTAGTGGTGGTTTTAGTCCTCGCCCTGGGTATGCCACAGTGGTTTACATAGTGGTAGTGATGGTAGCTTTCGTGATGGTGGTGGTCCTAATCCTCGCCCTGGATGTGCAATAGTGGTTCAGGTAGTGGTGGTGGCGGCGGCAGTGGCGTTTTGTGGCGCTAGTCTTCATCTTCGTCGGAGTCAGAGACGCCCATGCAGTCTGGACACACGGGCTTGTTGTCGACCGCATAGTACTGTTTCTTCCTCATGCTCTGCTTGCAGTCCTTCAAGAGAGGAACAACCAGCCATCGCTAATGTTAACGCACTGCAGTATACTGCTACCTGTCAAGCAACTCTTACTGAGGTTTTTAACCACACATTTGTTAGTCACAAAATAAGGTGGTGACATAACACACCAGGAAGCAGTGTTAACTCTGCTCCACACACTGTGACACAGAAGGTAGTAGTAGTGTGTAGGACAGCATAGTACAATATGGGAAGAGTTACATATTAAGCATGGGAAAGTTAGTTGAAGTTCCAACACTTAGCATTACGAAATGGGCGAGAGAGTTTTCTCCGAGACTAAGAACACGAATCTCAACGTAGGACGTTCAGAATTTTCCCCTGTGATAAAACACTAAAATCGTTCCCTCGTAATGAAGATTGATCGCTTCCCTAGCTTCACTGACAAGAGGACAGTTTTCAATCCCACGTCTCGTAATATAAACAAGAGAAAGCCTAACCCAGGCGTGTTACCCTGAGGTATACAAGAGAAGTAACGCCACGAACCTTCAGACCAGAGGTTAAAGGCGGCGTTACAAAGGTACCTTGATACCATTCAAAGGTGCCTTGATACCATTCAAAGGTGCCTTGATACCATACAAAGGTACCTTGATACCATTCAAAGGTGCCTTGATACCATACAAAGGTACCTTGATACCATTCAAAGGTACCTTGATACCATTCAAAGGTATCTTGATACCATTCAAAGGTACCTTGATACCATTCAAAGGTGCCTTGATACCATTCAAAGGTACCTTGATACCATTCAAAGGTGCCTTGATACCATTCAAAGGTACCTTGATACCATTCAAAGGTGCCTTGATACCATTCAAAGGTACCTTGATACCATTCAAAGGTGCCTTGATACCATTCAAAGGTTCCTTGATACCATTCAAAGATTCCTGATGCAAATGAATATAATTATCCTCCCTATTTTCGGACCTAACCTGAGTACCTCCCGATTCCCAAGTGTTATATGATACTAGACTAGTAATTTTGCACTTCCCATGAATAATTATTATTTTTACAATTATTAATTCAAGTGCTACTAAGAGGACATAGTTCCAGTAACATGTGATAAGCTATCACTTGAGAAAACAATATTTATCCTTGCTGATACTATATTTCCTAAATTCTCAATATTTAAGTATATTCTTTTTACGTCGAGACGATAAAATTGATTTAAGTCAAAATAAATGTTTTAACGTTCATCATATCTGAGATTTTGTTTGAATTTAAAGTTCGGGGTCTTAGTGTTAGTCTTCGTCTTACCATACTCTAGTGCCAGTCTTCTCAGACACTCCACTTCCTAAAACAACCACTTTTTCCACTATATAACGAACAATATGCCACATATTACCATCGGAAACGTAGAGACATGGAACGTTACACTATCACTTATACCACACACGAGCACGCTAATCCTACGCAAATTAATGTACCAACTGATTTAAAGTCATGTTCGGTACGCTTTGGTTTTCAAAATGGCAGAAACGCGATTAAGTAAGCGGGAGAACCTTCTGTTTTAATCTGGACAAAATAATGCAGATGAAAAAAGTACGAGTCTCCAGCTGTGTTACTAATGTTATGTCCAGTACTATTATGTCCAGTACTGTTATCCACAACTTGTAGACTTGACTCGTGAAGCAATGATCATTTTAACAAACATGACGAGGCTATATATATATATATATATATATATATATATATATATATATATATATATATATATATATATATATATATATGTGTGTGTGTGTGTGTGTGTCGTGCCGAATAGGCAGAACTTGCTATCTTGGCTTAAATAGCAACGCTCATCTTGCCATATAGGACAAGTGAAAATTTGTGTATGCAATAATTTCGCCAAAATCATTCTGAACCTAACGAAAAAAAAATATTTGATTGTGTTTGTTTAATACTAAATTATTGTAAACGTATTTAAAATATATTTAGTTGGGTTAGGCTAAAATAAATTGATCTTGTTATAATAAGGTTAGGTAAGTTTTCTATGATTCTTTTGGTGCAAAATTACATTACATTAACATTAATGAAAAAAAAATATTTTTAAACGTATAAGAGAAAATTCCAGAAAGGACTTAATTTTAAATGAGTTCTTGCTAATTGACCAGTTTTACATATTCGGCACGACATATATATTATTGTAACCACGAACGTGTGGTATTGATCAATAACAACACTGCGCAAGCCAAGGATTCGAACCCATGTTGTACTGGCCTGGGTTGGGTGGTCCTGTGGTTTAAAGCGTCATGTGGTTCTCGCTTACCATGAGGCAGGTCAGTACAACATGGGTTCGAATCCTTGGCTAGCGCAGTGTTGTTATTGATATATATATATATATATATATATATATATATATAATATAATATATATATATATATATATATAAAATATATATATATATATATATATATAATATATATATATATATGTATGTCACAATTATTTTTCTAACGACACCCAACAGTCGAAAATTTAGTCTTTAAATATGGTTATTTAGAGTTTAGCTGGTAATAATAATAATAATAAATCACGCTCAAAATAAAATGTAAGCAAAATAAAGAAAAGCATTATTTGGTTTATATAAGAACGCTTAGAGATCAGATGAGACACAACATGCAAGCTCTTAGTGTGGGTAGTGAGGTGTGCAGGAGCGTACACGCTATAGCAAAGTGTACAACACAGCCTACTGCTGCTGCTGCACATTATAGTTATACATCCTAGTTTATGTCACAAGAACTGCAGAATTTTTTAAAAATTCTACTTTAATAGTTTATTGAGGTTCCAGATTTTAGAAAAGTTACGTGAAGGTAAGGTCTACCGTGTCAAAAGCGACACGGAATCTATATTGCATTTCTGACCACTGTGTTTTTGAACTCGGCATCTTTGAACACTGCATCTCTGAACTCTGCATTTTTGAACACTGTCAAAGTTCTCAAAGGGGATACCCCAACCTGTATTTAGACATAAAGAGATGTGGCAATGATATATATCTGGAAAGAGAGAAGTCACTTACCTTGACAGTGATGGCAGCATCAGCAACAACATCAGCAACATATGGGGTACCGAGCTTACATTATCATGCATTTTTCACACAGAAAGAGAAAAGAGGCTGAAATGAAGAATGAAATTAGTTTTTGAACGCTGCAGTATGAAGGAAAGGAGAGAATGTTTATGTCCGGAGGGTCAGCTATAAATTTTTGAGAAAAGAGAGAGAGAGAGACGGAGAGAAAGTAGGTAGACTTACCCTGCAGACGAAGCACTCTGGATGCCACTGAGCGTTGAGTGCAGAGATGTAGTTCTCCATGATGGGGGAGTTGCAGCCTCCACACTTGGGAGCGAACATGTTGAAGTAGTCGTCTCGGCAGTAAGGCTTGCCATCCTTCTCGTGGAAACCATCGTCCCCGAAGGTGTTGCCGCACTGCGTGCAGAAGAAGTGATCCGGGTGCCACGTCTTGTCCAGCGCCGTCACGCATTTCTGTGCCAATCCACCAAAGACAACAATGAAGTATGTTATCGTGGCAGACACAGACTAAGCAGGTTCCACGATGTCAACTTCTCAGTGAGAAACAACCTAACTTCCCAGCGTTTACGCTCAAATTTAATAAGTGAGATTGTTATACATTTTCGTACAGAAGTTATTTTCTGCCTAGATTTTCTGTATTTTTTGTCGTTACTACCGTGTGATGTTTGTACTCTCCAGTAACCTATTTCCATCTTTACCCATTCCCTGACACCTTTTTCTTCTCTCTGCCCTCTTTCCCTTTACATCTACCTATTTACTACCTTTACATGTTCCCCTCTCTCGTCCCTGATGCCATTTTTTCCCTTCCGTCCCTGTCTACATCCCCCTCTTTACCTCCTCTTCCGCCCTTCCTACTTTAATCTTCTCCCTCCTACGTTTCCTACCACCGTTGCTCCCTCCCACCATCCCTACCACCATGACTGCCTCCCACCATCCCTATCACCGTGACTGCCTCCCACCATCCTTACCACCGTGATTGCTTTCCACCCAGCCCTGCCTAGAGAGCCCAGGGACACTCACGTCAAGGATGGGACCGTTGCAGTAAGAACAGCGAGGAGAGAAGAGGTTGTGGTAGTCTGGCTCACAGTAAGGCTTGCCGTCCCTCTCGAAGAAGTTGCGGGTACCAAGCTCCTGGTTGCAGTGAGAGCAGGTGAAGTGCTCAGGGTGCCACGTCCTTCCCAGGGCTGTGATTACCTGTATAACAAACACGCACACACACACACGAAGAGAGATCTTACTAAAACAGAGTCGATAATAACTAGCATATAATCCAAAATATAAGTCAAAAGAAGAAGGCAAACTTACAAGGAACTTAAAAGAAAGGCAAAACTGTATAATTAAAATGTGTGGACACGTCAGTGTGTGAAGTTGTGTAGAGTGATGTATCTGAATCACACGAGTGACAAGTGCCACTGACGGTATAAATGTCTCCAGCATGTGTGTGTGTGTGTGTGTGTGTATTATATATATATATATAATATATATATATATATATAATATATATATATATATATATATATATATATATATATATATATTAAAAATATGAGAGAGAATAATATGTTAAAGAACGAAAGTGAAACTACTGAGGAGGCGAAGGAGAGAATCAACTAACCTGGCCAACGATGGGTTTATCGCAGGCACAGCAGCAGCCCTTCTGCGTGGTGGTGATGCCCTGCTCCGTCATGTGTGAGGCCAGGGAGCCGAGCATACAATCCAGCTGGTTGACCGGGGGTGGTGTGGGCGTGGGTTCCTTGGGTGGCGAGGGGGCCGCTGCAGGCGGTGAGTACACGGGCGCTGGTGCGGGCGTGGGCGGGGAGGGACTCTTGGCCGGCTTCTGCGGCTTAGCGTATGCAGAATCCACCTGTGTCTGGAGGCTGCTGGCGTTGATCTGTGGCAGGGATACCCACCTCAAGTTACTGACGTGTGTGTGTGTGTGTGTGTGTGTGTGTGTGTGTGTGTGTGTGTGTGTGTGTGGTAAACAAAGGTGGCGGAAAGAGCTGATTCTGAGCTCATGGAAATGTTGGTGAGATAGACATGTGTTGCTGGGTGTTGATGGGATACTGAGATGAGCATGTTGAGGGGGCACTGAGATGAGCATGTTGAGGGGGCACTTAGATGAGCGTGTTGCCGGGTTAATAACGAAGACTACACATTCTTCATAATAGGTACACTATTTTCTGAAGGACTTGGAAAAGGGGGAGGACTAAATGTGAGTTGTTTACCTGCAGTGGCTTAGGAGTACAGAATGCCACCGTGAGGGAAGAGACTGGTGTTAGTGTGGAGGCAGCATCCAGGACACCACCACCCACCAGTATTCCCTCCCGGGAATACAAACCCGAGCCCACACAGAGGAGGGGGCGGTGACCCCCTCAGAACCACCTGCAGGTAGTTTCGTCACCAGTGGCAAAACGTCGCCTTCAATAAATGCCTCGAGTGTACAATCTCTCAGTAATAACATACTTGTACGTGTACACAGCAGTAGGTAAATCATGTACACAGCAGCAGGTAAATCAGGTACACACACCAGGTAAATCAGGTACATACACCAGGTAAATCAGGTACACAGCACGTAAGTCAGATACACATCAGATACATCAGGTACATAGGTAAATCAGGTACACAGCAGGTAAATCAGGTACAAAGCGGGTAAATCAGGTACTCTTATATCCTCCAAACTAATGAGCCAGACATAATATGGCAAGTTAAAAATAGCTAGCTTTTGTTGCCACTATGTAACTGTCATATAAAATAGTGTGGCAGCACACTGTTATCTACAGTTTTGATAAATTACGAAAAAAGCAAGGTGACAGCCTTTGATTATGCAGGAACCAGAAGACGCCTTGATTACTTGTGCAACACTTGCAACTCTGGGGAACACTTGCAACTCTGGGGAACACTTGCAACTCTGGGGAACACTTGCAACTCTGGGGAACACTTGTGCAACACTTGGTAATATTTCAGTAATAATAATTCCTAAGTGTTGAACAAATGTCTTATTTATCAACACACACTATATACTTCAGCTTCACGTTCAGTGTGGTGGGTGAGAGCTTCAGTGTGGTGGGTGAGAGCTTCAGTGTGGTTGGTGAGAGCTTCAGTGTGGTGGTGAGAGCTTCAGTGTGGTGGGTGAGAGCTTCAGTGTGGTGGGTGAGAGCTTCAGTGTGGTGGGGTGAAGCTTCAGTTGTGGTGGTTGAGAGCTTCAGTGTGGTGGTTGAGAGCTTCAGTGTGGTGGGTGAGAGCTTCAGTGTGGTGGGTGAGAGCTTCAGTGTGGTGGTTGAGAGCTTCAGTGTGGTGGTTGAGAGCTTCAGTGTGGTGGTTGAGAGCTTCAGTGTGGTGGTGAGAGCTTCAGTGTGGTGGGGTGAGAGCTTCAGTGTGGTGGTGAGAGCTTCAGTGTGGTGGGTGAGAGCTTCAGTGTGGTGGGTGAGAGCTTCAGTGTGGTGGTTGAGAGCTTCAGTGTGGTGGTGAGAGCTTCAGTGTGGTTGGTGAGAGCTTCAGTGTGGTGGGTGAGAGCTTCAGTGTGGTGGTTGAGAGCTTCAGTGTGGTGGGTGAAAAGCTTCAGTGTGGTTGGTGAGAGCTTCAGTGTGGTGGTGAGAGCTTCAGTGTGGTGGGTGAGAGCTTCAGTGTGGTGGTGAGAGCTTCAGTGTGGTGGTGAGAGCTTCAGTGTGGTGGTTGAGAGCTTCAGTGTGGTGGTTGAGAGCTTCAGTGTGGTGGTTGAGAGCTTCAGTGTGGTGGTTGAGAGCTTCAGTGTGGTGGTTGAGAGCTTCAGTGTGGTGGGTGAGGCTTCAGTGTGGGGGGGTGAGAGCTTCAGTGTGGTGGTTGAGAGCTTCAGTGTGGTGGTTGAGAGCTTCAGTGTGGTGGTTGAGAGCTTCAGTGTGGTGGGTGAGAGCTTCAGTGTGGTGGGTGAGAGCTTCAGTGTGGTGGTTGAGAGCTTCAGTGTGGTGGTTGAGAGCTTCAGTGTGGTGGGTGAGAGCTTCAGTGTGGTGGGTGAGAGCTTCAGTTTTGGTGGTGAGAGCTTCAGTGTGGGGGTTGAGAGCTTCAGTGTGGTGGGTTTAGAGCTTTTAGTGTGGGTGGTTGAGAGCTTCAGTGGTGGTGGTGAGAGCTTCAGTGTGGTGGGTGAGAGCTTCAGTGTGGTGGTGAGAAACTTCAGTGTGGTGGTTGAGAGCTTCAGTGTGGTGGTTGAGAGCTTCAGTGTGGTGGTTGAGAGCTTTTAGTGTGGTGGGTGAGAGCTTCAGTGTGGTGGTTTAGAGCTTCAGTGTGGTGGGTTTAGAGCTTCAGTGTGGTGGTTGAGAGCTTCAGTGTGGTGGTTGAGAGCTTCAGTGTGGTGGTGAGAGCTTCAGTGTGGTTGGTTGAGAGATTCAGTGTGGTGTGAGAGCTTCAGTGTGGTGGTTGAGAGCTTCAGTGTGGGGGGGTGAGAGCTTCCCGTGTGGTGGTGAGAGCTTCAGTGTGGTGGGTGAGAGCTTCAGTGTGGTGGGTGAGGGGCTTCAGTGTGGTGGGTTGAGAGCTTCAGTGTGGTGGTTGAGAGCTTCAGTGTGGTGGGTGAGAGCTTCAGTGTGGTGGAGTGAGAGCTTCAGTGTGGTTGGTGAGAGCTTCAGTGTGGTGGGTGAGAGCTTCAGTGTGGTGGGTGAGAGCTTCAGTGTGGTGGGTGAGAGCTTCAGTGTGGTGGTGAGAGCTTCAGTGTGGTGGGTGAGAGCTTCAGTGTGGTGGTGAGAGCTTCAGTGTGGTGGCTGAGAGCTTCAGTGTGGTAGTGAGAGCTTCAGTGTCATGCAGTATACTGGTATCGAGTCTACAGGTTGGCTGACGTTTACCAACGATCAGTGTTCACCGTAGGTTCACCTGGCATGGGCCGAGTCAAAACTCCTGGGTCCCGTCTCTAAACTATCAACCCATTTTACCTGGCCTCCAAGGTCCGATCATGACTACTCTTAAAACTGTGTATATCATTTGTGCTCACCTTCTTTTTTCTGTCTTCAAGACAACAATAACCAGTGTTATTAACACAGTGTGTGCCGCCCACACCTCTCCCTCTAGTTCATTCCACTTGCTACCCATGTTTCCTGGTTCTCTCTTCTCGCTTGCCTGTCTGTCTTTTCCGTGTATAACCTTGAGTATTTTGTATGTTATGATCATGTGCCCCTCGTTCTCTCTTCGAAGTTTTTTCTTCTAGTTCTTCATTCAGTACCAGCCTCGTTGTGTGTGTGTGTGTGTGTGTGTGTGTGTGTGTGTGTGTGTGTGTGTGTGTGTGTGTGTGTGTGTGTGTGTGTGTGTGTGTGTGTGTAAAAGGGTGTTTCGTCTGCACGTAACTTTTATACGACTTAATTCTCGTCAGAGTAGATTGATCGGGGGGGGGGGGGGAGGAGAGAAGCGATAAATTCGCATGGGTCAGACAGCTCCTGGGGATATGGAAGGCAATAAACCTATTTTTTCCTTTCCCAGGAAGGGGAAGAGTACCTTCAAAACGTCAGAGATGAACAGAGTAATGGAATATTTAGGATTACTTTGTAGGTATTGCTTTACAGATTTGGTGTCCATTCCAGAGGGGTCAGTGCCCCCCGCGGCCCGGTCTATGACCAGATCCCTGCGTTAACGGTCTCAGCCATTCGCATCACAGTCATTGTAGGTAAGAGTGTGTAACAACACCGAGACACGTAACAGCGATTAATGACTGGTAGTTAATCAAACACACGAGGGATTACTGACGGGTCATTAATCAAATGTGCGAGAGTTTACTGAACCTTATGGTCAGAGGAGGACATTTTGCCACCACCCTCCTCTGCATGTGTCCGTTTCACCTGTGTGTAGTCACATGTGTGCAGTCACATGTGTGCAGTCACATGTGTATAGTCACCTGTGTGCAGTCACCTGTGTGTGGTCACCTGTGTACGGATAAAGGAACAGAGGTACTAGCCTTTCTTCCAAGAGGATGCGACCCACAACCGTCGACTAACACTCTGGTACCTACTTACTGTTAGGTGAACACGGGCAGACGGGGTTAGAAGACTTGGTCAACAGTCTCACCCTCCTCTAGGATCAAACTCGAAACCTAGCCTAACCTAAACCTCTCACATGTACACCGGCTGCTCAAAAACACTGGGCCTATGTTCGTGCGCACACACACACACACACACACACACACACACACACACACACACACACACACACACACGTGTTGTATATTCAAGGTAAACAGGTCGTTGACTTTATACAGACGTCAAGGTTCTGACAGAGCGAGGTCTAGACAGGTCGAGGGGTCCTGTTAGACAAATCGAGGGGTCCTATTAAACAGGAAAATCGCCAAACCCAAAGGAGTCATCCTACAGCACCCGAGTCATTGAAGATAATCAGAAATGATCCTAGGAAGCGGAGGATAGTTCCAAATCCTCGGATTAAGTCCCCTTCCCAATGAAGGGGTGGCCCTGAGAGTCTCAGACCTGATACACTGGTCTTGGGACCAAAGTGGCCACGGTCCCAATGCAGAGGATATGGTCCAAGGTCGTTGTCCTTGTACGTAGGTCTTGGTCCATGTTCGTAGGTCGTGGTCCTTGTACGTAGGTCGTGGTCCTTGTACGTACGTCGTGGTTCTTGTACGTAGGTCGGGGTCTTTGAACGTAGGTTGTGATCCTTGTACGTAGGTTCGTAGGTCGTGGTCTTTGAACGTAGGTTGTCACTGTACGTAGGTCGTGGTCCTTATACGTAGGTTCGTAGGTCGCGGTTCTTGTACGTAGGTCGGGGTCTTTGAACGTAGGTTGTGGTCTTTGCACCTAGGTTGTGGTCCTTGTACGTAGGCCGTGGTCCTTGTACGTAGGTTGTGGTCTTTGTACGTAGGTCATAGTCCTTGTACGTAGGTTCGTAGGTCGTGGTCTTTGAACGTAGGTTCGTAGGTCGTGGTCTTTGAACGTAGGTTGTCACTGTACGTAGGTCGTGGTCCTTATACGTAGGTTGTCACTGTACGTAGGTCGTGGTCCTTATACGTAGGTTCGTAGGTCGCGGTTCTTGTACGTAGGTCGTGGTCCTTATACGTAGGTTCGTAGGTCGCGGTTCTTGTACGTAGGTCGTGGTCTTTGAATGTAGGCTGTGGTCTTTGAATGTAGGCTGTGGTCTTTGAACGTAGGTCGTGGTCCTTGTACGTAGATTGTGGTCTTTGTACGTAGGTTGTGGTCATTGCACGCAAGTCATGGTCCTTGTACGTAGGTCGTGATCCTTGTACGTAGGTCGTGGTCCTTGTACGTAGATTGTGGTCTTTGTACGTAGGTTATGATCATTGTACGTAAGTCATGGTCCTTGTACGTAGGTCGTGATCCTTGTATGTAGGTCGTGGTCCTTGTATGTAAATAATGGCCTTAGTACAATGGTCCTGGTTCATGTACAGTGGTCCTGGTACACTGGTCCTGGTTCATATATAGTGGTCCAAGTTCATGTACAGTGGTCCTGGTTCGTATACAGTGGTCCTGGTTCATGTACAGTGGTCCTGGTACACTGATCCTGGTTCATATACAGTGGTCCTGGTACAGTGGTCCTAGTACACTGGTCCTGGTTCATATAATGGTCCTGGTTCATACAGTGGTATTGGGTCATGTACAGTGGTCCTGGTACACTGGTCCTGGTTCATGTGCAGTGGTCCTGGGACAATGGTCATCGTACACTGGTCCTGGTTTATGTACAGTGGTCCTAGTACACCGCTCCTGGTTCATGGTCAGTGGTCCTGGTACAATGGTCATGGTTCATGTACAGTGGTCCTGGTTCACGTACAATGGTCCTGGTACACTGGCCGTTGCTGTGGTACACAATCATAGTCGTGCACCAGCAAGAGTGGTCCGGGTTCATAGCCTTCACTGTACCGGGCATGGTATTACAACGTATTTCGATGGGCCGCAGACCGGAAAGGCCGAAGTGCTAGAGCTTCCATCCACGAGAGAGAGAGAGAGAGAGAGAGAGAGAGAGAGAGAGAGAGAGAGAGAGAGAGAGAGAGAGAGAGAGAGAGAGAGAGCTAGCTCACCTGTGCCAGACAGGCAAGTAAGAACTGTGGCTGCTAGCTCTAGGCTTCCTGTATTTATGGCGGCTCCCTCTCAGCCTCCCTTCCCTCCGTCCTCCCTTCCCTCCATCCTCCCTTCCCTCTGCCATCACCTCTCCCTCCATCTTTCCTTCAATGTCACCCCTCCTTCCCTTTGATAGATAGTGTGGGAACACACGTAAGACTGCCTTACGCATGCCATCACACTAAATGGCTACTATCCCGTCAATCTGAAACTTCAAGGTGATTTAGGATCTTGACAAGCATTCCACTACGAATTCAGTAACTTCAGCAACTTCAGGAGTTTCCTTTAGGCAGGACTGGGAGTTAGCAATACGTGGGAGTTACCATTAAGGAGAAGTACACAAAGTTACCTACGGAGATGGGTTTACTGGGGAGAGGTTGAGGAATCTACCGGTGCAATACTCCAGCACCACCACCTGCAGCCGCTTTCCACCACCTGTCAGCCCTTTCCCCCACCACCTGTCAGCTTTTCCCCACGCCCACAGTCACACATCACCTGCATTATTAACATTATTAGATGAAGTGTCAAGGAAGGTCGTTTATAACCAAAATTGTGGACGTTGTTGTTGTTGGCCGTAGCTTTCAGTGTCTCAGTCTCTCAATAGCTCACTCTCTCACCAGCTCTCTCTCCCACTCACCCCCACAAAACAACCCTGATCTAGAGAGTAGCATGCCTTGTGGGACAAGAACTGTCACTCGTTACTGGTCTTGTAACCTAGACGTAAATGTAGCTCTATAAATCTCTTCGTCAGCCACTGTCAGTCAGTCTTACTGTTGTCTGTTACAGTATCTTCTGTCTGTCTGTCTCTCTGTCTCTCTCTCTCTCTCTCTCTGTCATACATTTACCCATATTTGGCCTTGAGCACTGCCACCTTCCCCCTCAACGCCCTCTCACGGTTAAATTGATCACCAACCCATCATGGAGGTTTCTTTGGTGCCCCCCAACCCTCTCTCTCTCTCTCTCTCTCTCTCTCTCTCTCTTCTCGCTCGCGCCATGCAAGATAATCAGTTAATAAATTAGTCTCTCGATAAATCAATAAATGACTCAGGCTGTTAACCACTCAATAATAGACTCCACCAATTTATCACCCTATCAATTATTTAATCAAATCAATTCATCAATAAATAAAAAATATCGGCCCTTGCAGCCACACGCTGAGGTCTGAGGGGTCGATTCTCGGTGCGGTTAGAAACATTAGGACGTGTTTCCTAAAGACACCTGCTGTCCCTGTTCACCTTTCAGTAAAATAGGTCCCTGGGTGTTAGTCGACTGGTGTGGGTCGCATCCTGGGGACAAAATTGACCTAATCTGCCCGAAATGCTCTGCATAACAAGGGGATTTCTATATAGTAGTATGCTACTGATGCCTGCTAGGCCTATATACCTTGTACACGTATTTGTAGAAATAAAGATTATTATATAGTACATATAGGTAAGTGTACACACTATACTGGAGAGCCTAGTCCAAAATCTTCACACTACCATAACAACCTAGTGGAGCCAGTGACATGGGAGGAAGATTCCCAGTGAAAACCAGGGGAGCCATGGACACAATATGAGAACACTGTATCAACATCCGTGGGCTTGGTCTCGACCTGCTACCAGCATATATCGGAAACATCTCTGGAACAAGTGTAGAAGTTTTCAAGAGGAAACTAGAGCACTATCACCGCGGTGTGCCCGATCAATCAGGCTGTGATGGATATGTAGACCGGGTTGCCGCCTGGCTGGCCAAGCAGTCGACAGAAATGCCTGGCTCTGGGCTGCTGCTGTAGCAAAACTCCTGAAACAGTTCACAGGTAAATCTGCATGTGTCAAGACACAATCTGTGATGCTGGCTCAGAAACTTAACTTACGAATTTATACAAAAATTTAAATCCATAAGTAGACGCACTTTTAATTCATGGTAGATGGAAGTAACACAGACGAATGAAAAAAAAAATGGGGTCACAACAGAGGCAGATGGACGAAGAAAGAGCAAATAATATTGTCTCCCTTAACTTCAAGATGTGAAAATGGGATCCATTTTTTTTAATTTCGTGGAAAATCTTATAAAAATGTTTAGAAATGTGTTTAATGTTTTTGGTTGGAAATTTAGTGAATTGGGAAGGTGTAGATTTAACAATTTTCCATTATATTGTGAAGCGTTTTATATATTTTCATGTTCGGGAAATTTTTGAACGTCTTATAACTAACACCTGCGTCATATAACTAACACCTGCGTAATATAACACCCGCGTCATATAACACCTGCATCATATAACTAACACCTGCGTCACATTAGCACCCGCATATAACACCCGCGTCATATAACTAACACCTGCGCCATACAACAAACACCCGCGTTAGGGGTGTTTCATTTCTTGTAGCAAACAAAATGGAATCAAGTGTACCCTCTCCAGGAACACCAGGAGTGACGTCACCTCTGATGAGTTGCCAGAGTTCTTCTGCTCCCGGAGCCCGACCTTGGACAGGCTCGTCTGGTGCTTGCCTGGTCAGCCAGGCTACTGCTGATTGGCGGCCTGCTGCCCCACATATCCACCACAGCCTGGTTGATCTTCCCTGACCACACTCCAGCTCTCAAATGCACCAGCACTCAAACAATACTCAAGCACTTTGGTAATGCTCCAGCACTCGCCTAGTGCTCCGGGTCTCGCTCCTTCCCCTTTTTTTATATTTCCACCCTTAATTCCCTCTCCCTTTTTTCCTCTTCCACTTCCCCATTACTCTCATCCCTACCACTTTACTCTCACCCTTAACCCCTTTACTCACCTCTAACCCCTTTGGTTCCCTTACTCTCTCATCCCCATTAACCGCTCCTCCTCCATCCCCTTTCTCCCTTAATCACCCCCACCTCCTCCTCCTCCTCCTCCTCTACGTCAGATTCATAAGCTGGCGACAGTTATATTGGGATAACTCCCCAAAAGGGGAGGCTAGGAGGGGAAGTGTGAGGGGAAGACCGGGAGTGGGTGAGGGAAGATGTCAGCATCGTGTTGGGATGCACCTGTCGCCCTGCTACACCTGGAATTAACCCCCTCCCCTCACACCTGTCACCCCGCCTTACCACCTCTCTCTCCATATATATAATTATATATATATATATATATATAATATATATATATATATATATATATATATATAATATATATATATATATAAATTTTTTTATTAACACACCGGCTGATTCCCACCAAGGCAGGGTGGCCCGAAAAAGAAAAATTTTCATCATTCACTCCATTTCTGTCTTGACAGAGGGGTGCTTTACACTACAGTTATAAAACTGCAACATTAACACCCCTCCTTCAGAGTGCAGACACTGTACTTCCCATCTCCAGGACTCAAGTCCGGCCTGCCGGTTTCCCTGAATCCCTTCATAAATGTTACTTTGCTCACACTCCAACACTTCAGTCCTAAAAATCATTTGTCTCCATTCACTCCTATCAAACACGCTCATGCTTGCAGGAAGTCCAAGCCCCTCTCACATAAAACCTTTCCCCCCTCCCTTCAACCTTTCCTAGGCCGACCCCTACCCCGCCTTTCCTCTACTACAGATTTATACACTCGAATTAATTCTGTTTTGTTCCTTCCTCTCTACATGTCCAAACCACCTCAACAACCACTCCTCAGCCCTCTCGATAATAGTTTTGGTAATCCCACACCTTCTCCTAATTTCCATACTACTAATTCTCTGCATTATATTCACACCACACATTGCCCTCAGACATGACATCTCCACTGCCTCCAGCCTTCTCCTCGTTGCAATATTCGCCACCCATGCTTCACACCCATATAAGAGCGTTGATATAACTATACTTTCTTATATTCCCCTCTTTGCTTCAATGGACAAAGTTCTTTATCTCCACAGACTCTTAAGTGCTCCACTCACTCTTTTCCCCTCATCAATTCTATGATTCACCTCATCTTTCCTAGACCCATCTGCTGACACGTCCACTCCTAAATATCTGAATACATTCACCACCTCTATACTCTCTCCCTCAAATCTGATATCCAATCTTAAGTCACCTAATTTTATCCTCATCACCTTACTCTTTCCTATATTCACTTTTAATTTTCTTTTACATACCCTATCATACTCATCCACCAACCTCTGCAACTTCTCTCTAGAATCTCTCAAAAGCACAGTGTCATAAGCAAAGAGCAACTGTGACAACTCCCACTTTGTGTTAGATTCTTTATCTTTTAACCCCACAACTCTTGCCAAGACCCCGAGCATTCACTTCTCTTACAACCCCATCTATAAATATATTGAACAACCATCTAATCAATATAATCCAAAAACACGAACAAGCGATACAAGATGCAAAACAACCATTGGGGGAGTTGAATGATAGCTCTAGACCTTTCCTGTTGCAATCAACACATCAAGAGCTTGCAATATTGCAGAAAAGAGTAGGTCCAAGTAAATACGATCACAGTAAGTGCCTTTGCGCTTTCTATGATCATATTTGCTTGGATATCCTCCTATTTCCTGCAACATTGCAAAGCAAAGGCCTAGAGCTATTATTCAACCCCCCTCGTGATTGTTTTACATATTATATCCTTTAGAGTAATACTGATTTGGTTTTATGAGAACGTTTGTGTGTTACTATGAATAACTTCCGTGTCTCCCTGAGAGCTGTCAGACCTAAACAATACTCGCCTGGTCACTGAATCCCATTTAGCGCAGTAACGGGATGTCCAATGGTTCGTTAAATCCAAGTTACGAGTCTCTCCATGATCGCAATAATAACGGACACTGCTGGATTTAACAGACATCTGTCCATTATATACCAAAGTAAATTAACTCGCCGCACGCCAACATTAACGGTAAATTTAAGTTTAACAGATATATGTCTGTTGTTTACGACTGTTGTTCGGTCACAGAGTTCATGTTTTCAACCGGGTCCGTTTAATCGAGGTTTTATTGCATTCTGTTACTATGTTGGAATTTGCTAGGTTGGTTTACGTTAACCTAAACCAAAAAAACTCTCCGATGCCCTGAGAGTTGAATTATGCCAAAGAACGTTGGGTAGCCAATGATTTGTTCTTGAAAACTCTTATACAAGCCACTCTCAAAACTCTTTTGCTGATAAAGTATTATTATATTCACGGAGAAGCACTAAATCCACATGGGTCATACAAATCTTGGGGAATGGGATATAATCAGGTTTAATCCGAGGAAGGGAAACACAGTTCCAACCCCATAGATCAAGAGCCGATGAAGACAACAGTTGAGAGGTTAACCACTAGGCTCTACGCTCATCCAAGTGTAACAAAATCCACAATAATTATAAATGTCTATATGGTACTGTACTTATAAGTCATATTCAGTACTTATAACTGTCATATACAGTGTTTATAAGAGACGTGTAGTACTTATAACAAAGTTGATGATAATGTGTAAGTATTGGGAAGAGAGGTTTGAGAATGTATTTGTGAATAAGAGATGAAATGGCGTTAATGATAATTATTTTTATGTTAATGAATATCTAAATACCGGTGAGTGTCATTCCATGTATAAATATTTGAGTGTAACGAAATTTGGAAGACAAATGGAAACAGTTTTAACAGCTTAATTATCTTACTCTACACAGACAGACAGACAGACAGACAGACACACACACACACACACACACACACACACACACACACACACACACACACACACACACACACACACACACACACACACACACACACACACGTAATCTCATCTCTTTAGAAAAACACCACAGAAAAAATCATATTCACTTACAGTTTATCCATATAAGTACCAGGGTGACGCTTAATACCTTTCGTGTCTCTCTCAATAATTGTAGATAACACTTAAACAATCCTTGTTGCCACGACCATACACCCTTAGTTATTCTTATAGCCCAGGAACTAGCATCTTTAATGGAAATTAGATAAAAGTGTGTGTGTGTGTGTGTGTGTGTGTGTGTGTGTGTGTGTGTGTGTGTGTGTGTGTGTGTGTGTGTGTGTGTGTAAATATCGAGAACGATTATCAGTGATAAGTTTCTTGGGAGGGACTAAGATGTGTGCTATTAAACGAGCAGAACTTATATAAAAGGGTAACATGTTCTTGTCTATAACAATACAGTTCATGCAGGTAATAGAATAATTCTATCTTTTCAAAATCCATTTTGATTTATTTACCTCTAGACGTCTTGCAAAATTTATGGAGATCGTATCTGGTTTATTTCTCAACCTTCTAATATTAAGCTCTATGCTATCACTGATAGTAGGAATACCAAGCTAATTCCTCATATTTATAACCAAGGACACCCAGTAATAAGGCGAGAGCTTCGCTTTGCATTAGCTCCAAGAGCTGGAGAGAATTGTTCTTCCCTAATATTAACATGGGCGCAGCATAACCAATTGACGGTCTAACATAGGCTATATACATCATTCTCACTATACCTACACTAGCACTAGGTGGTGTACCCAACAACACCTCTGACAGCATTTAGCCTATCTTCGCACTTCCTGTTTAGTTGTGGTATGGTTGATATACAGAAGGTCACGTCTACCCCAGGATATCCGAGATTTAACCTAGTTGATGTTTTTCATCCTGCAGACAAATGGGTGGATCATGTTTGCGTGTTACTGTCTCAATCTTAGATGCCAATATAAAGAGTCCTAGTCGATAACACAGCATATACTGTTTTTAAGCTTCATTAAAAATATTCATTCTCAAGCCCTGTTGTGGAGATCATGATGTCATCAGCGTAGGCCTACTGGTACATGTTTAGGTGAGGTAGGTACAGCATTTAGGAGAGCATTAAAAGGCACGTAAGTTCCCCCGTCTTCTAATTACTATCGCATTTGCTTTGTTTCGTAAGGTGAAGTCCAGGATCTTTCCTTAATTCATGGTATAACTTAAATCTTTGAGGATAAATGTGCTACAGAGGTCTGACCTCTACAACAGACCTATTCGGCACGACATATATACATGTGCCGAATACGTAAAACGTGCGATTTTGGCTTAAACAGCAACGTACTTGCCGAATAAGACAAGCGAAAATTTGTGTATGCAATAATTTCGCATAAAATCATTCTGAACCTAACGAAAAACTATATTTCATTGTGTTCGTTTATTATTAAATTATTATAAACTTATATACTTAGTTGGATTAGGCTAAATTAAATTGCGCTTGTAATGATAAGGTTAGGTAAGTTTCCTAAGGTTCTTTTGGTACAAAATCATTAATTTTTATATTAACATAAATGAAAAAATATATATCTTTAAATGTATAAGAGAAAATTTTAGAAAGTACTTAATTTTAAATGAGTTCTTGCTAATTGATCAGTTTTACCTATTCGGCACGATATATATATATATATATATATATATATTATAGATACTGTATATAAGATGGCGGCTAGCGTCAGAGTGGAATGTCATACATTGTCCTGGATGCACATTTTTATTACATTTACAACAATTCTCAGCTTTTATCTAATTTCCGGTTACCTTTATTTCTAGCCTAAATTTCCTGGGCTATTATTACATAAAACTCAAAATAAATATCAAACTCTCCCTTCAAAAAAAAAAAAATCATTAAGCGCTATATATACACACCAATCCTTTACATACTAACCAATAATTATTAATAGTTGGTTAGGGTTATTACATTTCACACCATGTTAAAGGTTTCGCCCGTCATGCACATGATGCAGAGTGACGTCCCAGGGAGACGGTCACATACACTCTCCCTCAACCCAAAGTTAGTCTCCCTCGTTACAATAAAACCTTGTTCCCTTGTTCACATTCTTCTCTGGTGAGGGTGACGCAGGCGTAAGGTTAAAATTAAGTGTTATGGGAAAGCGATGTAACCATGAAAGGATCGCAGTGACCGCGGAGAAGTAGGTACTCAGGTTTGGTCATCAGCACCTCATCGGCATACAGTAGGTACCTGCCTTGAGGAAACAAGAGTACAATGACTGGTGGTGGAACTCGTGCTTGGAGATGTTATCGGTGCTTGCTTTTATTGCGTTCCTTACCGCAGGTGTTACTGCTGAAGGTCCTCATTTGCAGTCTTGTGTTGATGAAGATCTTCGATATTAGTGGTGGTACTCCTTTAAGGATATGTTAATGGTGACTGTGGTTATTGTACGTTCAGTTACTTGTGAAGGTCGTCGGTGTTATTGTGGAGTTCAATACTTTTAGACGACAAGGTTAATAGTGGTGACTATGGTCAGTGGAAAGTTATTAGTAGGCTATGATGGAGGCTCTGGCACACCCTGTGCAAGAGTATATACACCGAGAGTTACTTATACACAGAATCTTTGTGTAAATACATCGGAAGATGGAAGATATGTACCTCTCAGTGCAAATATTCGTGAGAATTTTCTCTGATCCTACTATTAGGTATTAAACTATCCTTGACTGGTGGTGTACAGGTGACATGCAGCCATAATGACCCTCGTGTAGTCAACAGACTTTAAACCTTATAACCCAACCAACCAACCCCGTGCACGTCAACACGAAATACCTCCCTAGTTCCCATGCAAGATGTGAGTGACCAGCGAAGAAGAGTTAAAACCCTTCTGGTGTAGTGAAAATACGTTAGAAAACAACTGAAGTGAGCCACCAGACGAGGTTAAGGACTCTAACCGGTGAAAATGGAAAGGAATTATGTACAGTGGTGCGTAGAGCCGCCACCGCCAGCCCACAAAGTGTACTCACCAGTTTGCGGACTAACGCTGGACTGCGTAGCTGCTCCTGCGTCTGCGGGAAAGGGAAGGAAGAGGCCCAAACGGAATGTTACTGAAACGGCTCAACAGGAAGTAACAGCTAGTGTAGTGCTAAGTTACCTCACTGAAAGATGCTATCTGAAGCGTGCACTGCGAACGGGCGCACAGATTCATAGCACAGAAACACTTTTATTAAGACAACGTTTCGCTCAAGGCGAACTTTCCTAAGTCATGAAACCTTGGGCGAAACTTCGCCTTAATAAAGGTTTACTCTGCTCCAAGCTTTTTTTTATTTATTTATTTATTTTGACGCTGTGCCCTCAGACAGCAGCTACCTGCAGCACAGGCGGCGTGGCACTGTCGACCACACACAGCAGACCAAGCACAGAACCCGAGCTCAATGAGCAGGCATCAAGCTCCCTAAGCACACTAGGCTAATCATTACAAAGAAAGGTAGACCCAAGGCTACAGCTGGGCTACAGACTCATTCTAGAGTACAGACGTTAAATTCTGAACTTTCCGAGTTACTGAAGAAGTTAGTGGACAGAAAAAATTATATATATATAATGAAAAAAAAACATAAAATTTATATACTAAAAAGAAAAATGATGAAAATTATTGCAAAACTACAATTTGGACTAATAACTGAGGTGTTAGAGTGGGTAGAAGATCTGGTGGTGGGTATGAGGTATCTAGCTAAAGTGCCCATCTATACCCACTACTGCCTCATCCACTCGAGCCCTCTCAAATCAACACAAATTATTCATGCATATGTAGAGACAAAACAAGAACGACTTAAGCTTGAAAAAACTATGAACTACATGTAGGCAGGGCAAGGCGAGAGTGGTGGTGGTGGTGTCAGAACTCCACGGTAAAAGCCAACACGCTCTCGGAATCCTTTTCATCGTTGTCACCGCCGTCGTTATTAGCTTTCACGTCACGCAAACACAACAACGACATACAAAACAAAAGTCTGTGAGTAGCATTAGCCTAGACGTGGCTACCTGGAGGAGAACAGTCACTCCTAGAGCGCCTGGGTTTTAGTACAAGGCAGAAGGCCAAACATATGCACACTTCCCACTATTTAGTGTCACTAAAACCAAACACTGGTCCGGGGACTGTAGCAGCTGTTAGGGCACGCACGCTGGTCACTAGTGAGCCATTAGGGGCCCCTAACGAGGGCCACACAAGGTCCAGGGGTAATGGAGGGACTGGTACTCACTCTCTCGTTGACACAGGGGAACTCTATCACCTCCCTCACTTCGTACTTGCAGGTATCTGTCTCCCAGCGGTACTCGGCATCGTTGCGCTTGACAGGACCTCCCGAGGGAGGTCGGTTGAAAGGGTCGTCAGCAGGACTCTGCAACAACGTGGCCAGACCAGGTAAGGCCGGGTCACTCCCCCATTTCACTGCCTTTAGTGCTAACCTAACTTACCCCCTCCCCCCATTTTACTGCTAACCTAATTCATAACTAATGGGGAAAAATCAGAAAAAAACTATGGTAAAATTTTTCAAATCCAGAATTCATAAAAGCCAAGACAGACGGACCTTCATAGCTCTGTCATGACGCGTGTATGCTACTGGTTGGTACAGTGCTCTGAGTTTATCCCAGTTACTCCGCTGCCATTTCATTATCACACACACACACACACACACACACACACACACACACACACACACACACACACACATATATATATATATATTATATATATATATATATATATATATATATATATATATATATATATATATATATATGCGCAAGACAGGCCACGGGGGATGGAAATCTTCAGCTCAAGTATTTTCACACGTCTCCGTGCGTCATCAGGAGCCATGCAATGTTGAAAGAATAGTAACAGGTGGAATGAGAGGAAATGTTCTCAGACTAAGGTAGCGTGGTGATGCCAGCCGCTGGCGTCACCATGCTACTCTTGCAACATTGCATAGCTCCTGATGATGCACGAAGATGTGTGAAAGATCTTGAACTGAAGATTTCCATCCCCCGTGGCTTGTCCTGCATTGTTAAGATATATATCTCAACATCCTGACGTTAAACCATTTTTGCTCGAGGATTTATTCCGGTTTGAGGCTACAACCAGGATGTGAGTTTTTTAAGATAGCAACTAAGGAATGTTAAATCTTGGGATTAACTTAATTTGTTAAGTACAAACAAGACGGAACATTACGAGTATATAAACACTGGGATTAATACTTTCTCAGCGGCTATAAGACAGTTTAACAACGGGAGTAATCTTAGCTTAGTAACTATGCAGCCAGACCATGAGACACTTGACACGCACTACACTGGTCTTCACAGTGGCAGGCATGGTGATGGTGGCTGGTCAGGCCACACAGACACGCAAAAAAAAAAAAAAACTCTGGTTTTCACAGTGGTAAGCATGGCTGACCAGGTGACAATGACACGCCCAAGACTCTGGTTATCACAGTGGTAAGCATGGTGACTGCTGGCTAAGCGAAGCGACACTTGAGACGGACAAGACTGGTCTTCACAGTGGTAGGCATGGTGATGGCTGGCCAGTTGACATCAGGGGGGAGTAATATGGTACACACGAGGGGAAGACAACACTCACTAGCTGGACGACGTTGGGGAAAGGGGTGGTGAAGGGAACGGTTAATGTCCCAGCACACGCACTGGCCGGCACCTTGGGTCACCTGGGGATGGGGTCGGCACCTGGGATTGAGGCTCCTAGGTCTTGGGGATGGGGGTCACCACCAGTTAGTAAGGCCGCACCAGCCACCAGCACTAATGGGTGAGAACAGCTACACTGTCACTACGTTACTCAACGTGGTGGCTGGCTCAGCACGACACCCAGGGGTCACTTCCACATCTGCACGCCCATCACAGTGGGCGTGCGGATGTAAGGGCGTGCTTAGCGGCACTACTCACGTTAATTACGAATCCGCGGCGCACCAGCACTCCACCACCTACCCGCGGAGTGCCGTACACCGACGCTGGCACTGACGACACCAGTGGCATGGCGTAGATGTAGGCTTCCGGAGGCAGCGGTGAGATCGAGTAAGCCCCGGGCACTGGAGGCCGTGGCGGAGGCACCGCTAGTACGGCAGCGTTGTCAGGAACCTGAGGGCGCCGCGGAGGCACCGCCACCCCTCTTACTCCTGAAGGGTAGCTTTTTGTACTCTCGGAGGACGTGAAGACGTGGCTGGAGACGACTCCAGACTTCACCACTTGCTTCTCAACCTCAGCCACGTCACACTTCTGTAACCACGTCATGTTACACACCCACAGGTACGTTACACATCCACAAGTGTGTGTAACACGATGAATTAGATACCTGTGTGTAACATACATGTGTGGGTGTACGTTACCCACAAGCATGTTGCATGTTACACACACACACACACACAAGTAAAATTCTGAAAAAGCTTTTACGGAGAGAAATAATAGTACCAATGAAAGTTTGTTCTGGAATTTATCCCTATGTTGATGTGGTTGGACTCACGGGCGCTGTGTGAGAGAATGAGAAGTGTACACACATACTGAGCAGCCTGCCTGGGAGCCACAACCATACTGAGCTCTTTGTTGTTGGGGAACTCCAGAAGCTGTTGAGGCGGAGGACGTGGTGTTGGGGGGGGGAGGAAAAACACCGGAGACGGTGGTCGTGTTGAGGACTACTAGACGAGGGAGTGGTAGTATTGGAGGATGAGGATTGAAGATGGGGAAGAGAAGGTCACGAGGGTAGGAGCCATCACAGCCTGGAACACCACAATATACAGAGTTCCACGGTGTCATCCACGCCCTCTACACTCAACTTGCTATGCTGTGCAAAATAACCACAGGGAGAGTTGAATGTTAGCTCTAGCCCTTTCGTGTTGCACCTCCCCCTGTGGTTGCGTTGCATCTTGTATCGCTTGTCAGCGATTACTGCATCACTATGCTACACGTGACACCTTATATATACCTATCACGTCGAAAATAATACGCACCCTATATTGGAGCCAATTATGACACTATCAACATTACTACCAGTGTACCAGCAACTGTGTGAGACAGTATCCACTCGTAGTACATCTTATTACACTTGTCTGGCATTCAAACATATCGCGTGTACCCGTGCCGCAAGACACGTATGGTCCATATTAAACACCGGTGATACGCAGTACTACGTGCATATACACGTACCACGTACGCTGTGTACATCTGCAACGCTATGTACACAAGCGAGGCGTAGAGAAGCTGCAGAGGATGAAGGAGGCGGTGAGGTTGAGATGTTGCCATGACATCTCGCTGGACACTGGGACGGCCGGAAAGTGATGATGATGATGATGATCATGATGATGGAAGTATAGAGGAAAATGAATGACGTTTGAAGTTGGTTGGGGAAAGTAGGCAAGCCATGGATGAAAATGACATGCAGGTAGACGGTAGGAGAACTTGAAACATGCGGGTGAACATGAGAAGGAGGAAAGTAATCACTTTCCATCGCTGAGATGTACATTGAATACAAAGGATGGTGACCATCACGGGTGAAAGTGAAGAGGATGTGTAAATGGGAGGGAGGGTAATAAAAGGAAAGAGAGGGAATGAAGGAGGGCCTGATAAACTGCTCGTGCTTGCAACCTTGTACAGTCTAGTATCTGCGCAGTCCAGTATCTGTGGTCTGTATTCGCTGAGATCTGAAGGTTGTGGTCTGTGTTCCGAGTAGGTCTGGAGGCTGTGGTCTGTGTTCTGAGTAGGTCTAGAGGCTGTGGTCTGTGTTCTGAGTAGGTCTGGAGGCTGTGGTCTGTTCTGAGTAGGTCTGGAGGCTGTGGTCTGTGTTCTGAGTAGGTCTGGAGGCTGTGGTCTGTGTTCTGAGTAGGTCTGGAGTCTGTGTTCAGAGTAGATCAGGACGTCAATTTGGTTGTGGTCTTAGTTTCCTGTGGTTGACAGTCATCTTTTCTCCTTTGTTATTGAGTTTACAGGAATTATTTGTTACATAGTTTGGAATTTACGGTATTGTATGAGTGGTCAAACACTTTACTGGAGATGACTGTACCATAACAATGGTGATTACTGGAGATGACTGTACCATTACAGTGGTGGTTACAGTAGCACAGCTATGTTTGTGAAGTTAAATCTTCAGTGTTTTAATAGTGGGGGGAAGGTGCGTGGTAAGATGAATGGAAAAGAGGAGGTAAACGGGAAGTTAAAGAAGAAGGGAGGGAGGGTGAGAGGAGGTATGTAGGGGAGGAGGGAGAAGAGAAGAGGTTGAATCGAGAAGCGACTGTTGAGCTTAGGAAAGAAAGGCTTTAACCATCGTTGTTGTTGGTGTGTGTGTGTGTGTGTGTGTGTCATGCTTTGTACAATGTATAAAGCTTCAGTGTACCACGTTGCTCTTCCTCTTACTCGTCTCATAAGAGGGGTAGAGGAGGGGATGGGGCCATGCTGGTGAGAGGAAGATGGGGCCATGCTGGTGTGAGGAAGATGGTGCCATGCTGGTGAGAGGAAGATGGTGCCATGCTGGTGAGAGGAAGATGGTGCCATGCTGGTGAGAGGAAGATGGGGCCATGCTGGTGTGAGGAAGATGGTGCCATGCTAGTGAGAGGAAGATGGTGCCATGCTGGTGAGAGGAAGATGGAGCCATGCTGGTGAGAGGAAGATGGGGCCATGCTGGTGAGAGGAAGATGGGGCCATGCTGGTGAGAGGAAGATGGGGCCATGCTGGTGAGAGGAAGATGGGGCCATGCTGGTGAGAGGAAGATGGTGCCATGCTGGTGAGAGGAAGGGAAACTACCCACAAACATGGAGGGTAGCTACCACAACATGGAGGGTAGCTACCGCAACATGGAGGGGAGTTACCACAACATGGAGGGGAGTTACCACAACATGGAGGGGAGTTACCACAACATGGAGGGAAGCTACCACAACATGGAGGGAAGCTACCACAACATGGAGGGGAGCTACCACAACATGGAGGGTAGCTACCACAACATGAAGGGGAGTTACCACAACATGGAGGGTACCTACCACAGCATGAAGGGCACCTACCACAACATGGAGGGGAGTTACCACAACATGGAGGGGAGCTGCCACAACATGGAAGGTAGCTACCACAACATGGTGGGTAGCTACCACAACATGGAGGGAAGCTATCACAACATGGAGGGTACCTACCACAACATGGAGGGGAGTTACCACAACATGAAGGGGAGTTACCACAACATGGAGGGGAGCTACCACAACATAGAGGGTACCTACCACAACATGGAGGGGAGTTACCACAACATGAAGGGGAGCTACCACAACATGGAGGGGAGCTACCACAACATGGAGGGAGCTACCACAACATGGAGGGTAGCTACCACAACATGGAGGGTAGCTACCACAACATGGAGGGGAGTTACCACAACATGGTGGGTACCTACCACAACATGGAGGGGAGTTACCACAACATGGAGGGTAGCTACCACAACATGGTGGGTAGCTACCACAACATGGAGGGGAGTTACCACAACATGGACGGAAGCTACCACAACATGGAAGGAAGCTACCACAACATGGAAGGAAGCTACCACAACATGGAGGGTAGCTACCACAACATGGAGGGTAGCTACCACAACATGGAGGGTAGCTACCACAACATGGAGGGTAGCTACCACAACATGGAGGGTAGCTACCACAACATGGAGGGGAGTTACCACAATATGTAGGGGAGTTACCCCAATATGGAGGGGAGTTACCCCAATATGGAGGGGAGTTACCCCAACATGGAGGAGAGTTACCACAACATGGAGGGTAACTACCACAACATGGAGGGTAGCTACCACAACATGGAAGGTAGCTACCAAAACATGGAGGGAAACTACCACAACATGGAAGAAAGCTACCACAACATGGAGGGAAGCTACCACAACATGGAGGGAAGCTACCACAACATGGAGGGAAGCTACCACAACATGGAGGGAAGCTACCACAACATGGAGGGAAGCTACCATAACATGGAGGGGAGTTACCACAACATGGAGGGTAACTACCACAACATGGAGGGGAGCTACCACAACATGGAGGGTAACTACCACAACATGGAGGGGAGTTACCACAACATGGAGGGTAACTACCACAACATGGAGGGTAACTACCACAACATGGAGGGTAACTACCACAACATGGAGGGTAACTACCACAACATGAAGGGTAACTACCACAACATGGAGGGTAACTACCACAACATGGAGGGTAACTACCACAACATGGAGGGTAACTACCACAACATGGAGGGGTTACCACAACATGGAGGGTAACTACCACAACATGGAGGGGTTACCACAACATGGAGGGTAACTACCACAACATGGAGGGTAACTACCACAACATGGAGGGTAACTACCACAACATGGAGGGGTTACCACAACATGGAGGGTAACTACCACAACATGGAGGGTAACTACCACAACATGGAGGGGTTACCACAACATGGAGGGTAACTACCACAACGTGGTACAAGAGGACAGTGGTGGAAGTGGATGAGAAATAAGTGGCCACAGAGATCAGTGTCGGACGCTTCAGTGTGTGTTTGTCATGCTGTCAGCCGGCAATCACAAGAGTGTCAGACGCTGTGTTCTCCCTCATGCTAGGGTAACAAGAGTGTCTTAACGGTGTCACACGAGAGTGGAGGTGTCATGCTGACAAGAAAAACATTCACAAAAAATAGAAATACGCTATTTTCAAACTATTTTTCCTACACGAGGAGAATGACGCTCATAGCTAATAAATAATGCTAGACGATATCATGCTGTGGAAAAAGATAGCAGTTAGATAACACCACACAGTAAGTTCCATGCTGTGGTATAACGTAATTACACTTCGCACACACACACACACACACACACACACACACACACACACACACACACACACACACACACACTGGGTGTGCCATGCTGTGGTACTGACAGGAGTCGCATAACGCCACATAATGGGTACAGTGGGTTGAGAATGTGCCCTGTGGGTCGAGACTATTAAATATAACTATACATAATATCTACCTGGAAGCCTATGGTAACGTGAGGTCTTGATATTGTCTCAAGACCTCACAGGAATTACCAGGCCATGATAGATTAAAGGAAAGCCATTCCCACATCAATAGATTACAGTGAAGCCATTCCCACATCAATAGATTAAAGCCATTTGCTAATCAAAACGGCTAAATAAAAAATGCCAGTAACCATCACTTAAGCAGAGGTAACGTAAGAAAAAATATATAAATGCAACGCCAAAAATATACTTAGTGACAGAGATAAACGAAGGAATCTACCGAGGATGGCAGGGATAAACAAGGCAATATACTGAGCGTGACAGGGATAAACAAGGCAATATACTGAGCATGGCGGGGATAAACAAGGCAATATACTGAGCGTGACAGGGATAAACAAGGCAATATACTGAGCATGGCGGGGATAAACAAGGCAATATACTGAGCGTGACAGGGATAAATAAAGCAATATATTGAGCATGACGGGGATAAACAACTGTATGTAATTAATGGCTACGAGGCAGTATCTGTGAGAGGCGAGCAGGCAAGTTGAAGCAGATGAGAGACAGGTAGCAAACAGAAGAGAAGAAACGACAGGCGATAACGGAGACATGAAGGAAAAGAGGAGGAAGAGGAGGAGGAGGAGGTGCAGAAAGATGGTTGTGGGGGTAGACGGGAGAGTTGCACCCTCTCCCCTCCACAGCTGAAGCCAGTACAGTCGTCCCGTTGTGGGCGACATCACGCCCACACACGCCCACACCGCCCACTCTCACCACCCACCTATGAACCAATGGTCCGCTCATTACCTCGCCTCTATTGCCTGGTCCTATCACGTCAGAGAGAGAGAGAATTGGATAGAGAAACTAAACCTCTAGTCTCTATAGCAATGGTTTATTAAACCGTCAACTAGAAGAGTAAGACACATGTACAACACTTGGATATCTTCGGTATGGAGACGCTTCTCCATCCAGTGGCTTTATCAGTCCATTACTAGAGACGGTGGAAGACACGTAGCAGTAGTTCGAGGTTATCAGTCCCTCAGCCTCGCTAGGACGTGTTCGGTCCGTCAGAGTCAGGCTGGACTGAACACTTTCCAGCACAGCCGAGGGACTGATCACCCTGAACTACTCCTTCAAGTCTTCCACAATCTCCAGTATTATTCTCATTAATGGAATGATAAAACCACTGGTTGACAGAACGTCGCTACAATAAAGATATCCAATTGTTGTACCTGTGTCTTGTTTACCTAGTTTACAAGTACATATCTCAGCCCATGTAGGTGATAGTGAGGTAATGCTGTGGATGTGGGCGTGGTGGGTAGGTCAGAAGAGCGAGGCGTGGGCGCGAGGCGTGGGTGGTTATGGCGTACCGTGTATGTGCTGACGTTGCCATTCTGAGCTCCCTCACCGCCTCCTTCAGCAGCGGAGACCTGAGGCTGCAGGGGTGATACCTGCAGCACCTCCACCCTGGTCGCTGTGCTACCCGCAGCTTCCCTGGTCGCTGTGCTACCTGCAGTTTCCTTTACCTTGAAGTCACTCAGCGAAGCCATTAGGTCGTCCAGCTCCTTAGTAGCGGTAGAGGCTGAAGGCTGCGGCTGCGGCCTGTGGCTGATCTGCTGAGGCTGCGGCGGTGGCGACGCCAGTGGCTGATGTGTGGTGCGGAACTCTCTCTGCACCGTCCGCTGTTCCACCACCTCACTGTTAACAGTACAAAAAATCATAATGTCGATTAAAGAACGAAAAAAAATATACCAGGGCAGTCCCTGAATTGCTGAATAAAACCCACGTGGAACACCTGGGCATCTTTGAAACCCACGTGGAGCTCCTGTGTATCTTCATCAATATATACAGTACTGGAGACAGTGGAAGATGCGGTAATCAGTCCCTCAACCTTGACAGGTGTTCAGTCCCTTACTTTAGAGTGTGAACACCAATCATGGCTGAGAGACTGATTACCTTATCTTCCACTGTCTCTAGTATGTAATCTCTGTAATGAATTGACAAGTCCTGAATCTGTTGCACAGACACACAAAGATTAGTAAAAGATCACGTAATATAACTTTACAAATGGCGGAGCTAATTCTGAGAGAGAGAGAGAGAGAGAGAGATTTTGTTGATTTCCCTACTCATATCTCTGGCTCCTCCCTTGACCCAGTAGTGAGTGATCTGGCAGAAGGCATAGTCTCTTGTCAACCCCTCGGCTACGTTGGATCATCTGACCACAAGGCTGTTTTTACCACACTTAAGATCCCAACAGAACGAGGTGAGGAGTCCACACGCACAACCTGGTAATGGGAAAGAGGTAATTGGCTAGCCCTTTGCTCTGAGCTCGCCACCACCGATTGGAATGCTCTTCTCCAAGGGGATGTTGACAACCAAGTGAAAGCCTTCACTGGACACATCCTTAATCTACAACAAGAACACATTCCTCACCGGCAATATGTGACGAAGCCTACAGATCAGCCTTGGTTTGGCTCTCGTTGTAGAGAGGCTGCTACTGCTAAGTACAAAGCATGGCGAAGGTATAAGAGACATCCTACCACCTATAACAGGAACTTGCACACGCAAGCCTGTAGGCATATGGGTGACGTTCAAAAGTGGGCCATTGCTAAATGGGAGGTGGACACTAAAAGAAAGCTAGCATCAGGTAGGGTAGGCTCCAAAACCTGGTGGTTCCTGGTCAAGGACACACAAGGTTATCTGCCTGATAATTCATTCCACCTCTAAATCGACAGGATGGGACCACCTCTACTAGCAGTCAAGAGAAGGCGGACCTCTTTGCTACCAAAATGCAAGTTCCTGATCCAGCAAGGGACCCTCCTTGGCTAGCTGCAAGAACTGTGTCAAAACTGTCAGTGGTGACAATAAGGCAGGAGAAGGTGCATTTCCTCCTTAAATCGCTTGACCAAGAAAAGGCTGTGGGCCCAGACAAGTTGAGCCCAAGATTGTTGAGAAGATGTGCAGACCAGCTAGCAGCACCTCTAACTCGCATCTTTCAGCACTGCATAGTACAGTGTAAATGGCCCTCTCTATGGAAAGAGGCAAATGTAGTCCCTGTTCACAAAAAGAAGAGCAGAGCAGAAATCAGCAACTACAGACCAGTGTCACTCCTGTCAATCACTGGGAAGATCCTTGAGACAATAATCTCAAGCAAATGGCACAGGGTTTTTTGACTACCACTCACTACTTTGTGATCGTCAAATGGCTTCAGGAAAGGTTACTCTGCTGCTGATCTGTTGTTAAACCTCTCCCTAAGTGGCACCAGTCACTGGATTTAATCCAAAGTCAGCTGTGTGGTAGCACTGGACATTGCTGGCGCTTTCGACCGGGTGTGGCACCCAGGGCCTCTTAGCAAAACTTCAAGCACTGGGAATTGCAGGCTCTAAAGTATGTCTCCTCAGTGATTAACCCTTTATGGTAGATCTCTAAGTGTAGTTCTCAATGGAACGGAATCAGCAAGACATCCTATTGAGGCAAGTGTTCCACAAGGAAGCGTGGGTGGTCCATTGTTATGGAATGTTACTTCAACGACCCTCTTCATCTCATCCCAGAATCACATGCATATGCAGACGACTGTACACTGACATTCACTTATCCAAGAGAAGAAATGCCAGCTGCTCTAAGCTACATCAATCACCAGCTGAGAGCTATATCAGCTTGGAGAAATAGATGGCAAGTAAAATTTGCACCTGAGAAAACGCAAATGATGATCGTCTCTAGGCACCATGATGGTAATGCTGTGCAGTAGTAAGGATGAATGGGAGGGTGTTGGCACCTGGAGAAGAAGTTGAGATCCTTGGGGTGAAATTTGACTCCAAACTAACCATGAAGAACCATGTTGTAAATCTTGCAAACAAGGCAGCCAGGAAGCTTACAGCACTTCGCCGTATCTCGCATCTGCTTGACAGTAGGGGTTGCAAGATCCTGTACGAGGCACAAGTACGCTCACACCTTGAGTATGCTCCACTTTCTTGGTTTGCCTGCCCCCCCTCTCATCTGCGACTGCTTGACAGAGTAGAGAACAAAGCAAGACGTCTCATCTCTCGCCTGGACCCATCCTGGATAGATCTGTCATTTCAGCAGAGCCTTCAACATAGGAGGGATGTGGGTGGCCTTACTGTTATGTACAAGGCCAATATTGTCCAAATATACCACACTTGGATCCACTTCGAGGACAGCGTGAAGCAAGCTTTTATGCCACAAGACGGGCAGAAAGCAGCAACTTCACTCTGGCTGTACCCTTCTCCAGAATCATCACTCCATCTGAGATCATACATACCCAGGATGACTCGAGTATGGAACACATTCGTACAACATAATGATGTCAACGAGATAAAGTCAGTTGATCAAATGAAAATGCTGGCCCACAGATGGCTCCAACTTCATCCTGTTCCCTACTTGTATGTCTCATAACAATAAAAATGCTTTCAAATAAGCTGATGTAGGTAACAGCTCTTAGCTTGCCAATAAAGTTAGGAATCCTTAACCTGTAAATAGCTTGTCAATAAAGCTAGGGATCCTTAACCTTGTCAAACCCTGTGTAAAAAAAAAAAAAAAAAAAAAAAAGAGAGAGAGAGAGACTGGAACACTATATATTCACAATGTAAACAAAAGCTTCTCCCAGGACGGAGCAGCAAACGATTGAAATAACTTGATACCATCTTCAACAATCGACACTGAGAGAAGAGGCGGAGTATATATTATTTTATTTTTCCATAACCTCTGCCCACCATACCAGATATTTTCAGACACCACAAATTCTACAGTTACATGAAAAAAAAAATAATTTGACAAGGAAGTGGAGAAGCAAATTTCTAACAAAACTCTGGAAAATACTCAGTTGTACATAACACTGATGTGAAACAGTTATTCTCTCTCATCATCAACACAAACCAGGGTATTGTGTTCTGTCACAGTTATTCTCTCATCCTCAACACAAACCAGAGTACTGTGTTCTGTCACAGTTATTCTCTCATCCTCAACACAAACCAGAGTATTGTGTTCTGTCAAGAGGGAGTGAGTGTCGGTACTTGGTGCACAAATTAGTGCCCCAAGTGCCACCACTTACTCCCTCATAAACCCATCACTTGACGTTCCCTTATACCATCCCATCAGAAGTTTTTCTGGATTCTTGCCCAGACAGGTTCTTGAGATAATGAAGTTCTTCTCTCTACGTCGTGGAGAAAGGGTTAAGGGAAAGGAGAATAGGGGAAAGGGGTTAAGGGAGAAGTGGAACAAACGCCACTTCTTCAGTGGAAGTTGCGGGGGTTGTTGGTCTGGTGGAAGACGTGACACTTGGCATGAAGGTAGAGTGGGTGTTTTAAAACACGTTTGCTTTGGCAGGAGCAACCTCGTAGGGGGTGGAATTTATCTTGGAGTGATGCAAGCTGGTGTGAAAGACTCGTTCGATTCGGTACATTGGTGCGAAATGGTCGCCATATTGATGTGAAATGGTCGCTAGAGTCGCCATATTGATGTGAAATGGCCGGCAGAGTTGCTATGTTGACAGTCTTAAAAACAATCGTGAGATCGGGCTTGTGTGGCCGCCTTCGTAAAAATAACGAACGCTTTTTGGGCAAATGCGCATTGGTCTCAGCGAAATAAGGGTTTACCCTGGGAACAAGAAGAGACAGGTGGGGGGAGGGGCGTTTCTTAAATTATATCCTAACGAATATTTCACTTGCAAAAAAAAAATCTGAGCCGAGTTTATTTTGGTCTGGTGCGTCCTTCGTCAAGGAGGGAGAAAACTGACCCAGAGGCAAACATTACTATATATATATATATATATATATATATATATATATATATATATATATATATATATATATATATATATTATATATATATATATATGCTTCCTAGGACTAACCAGGAAATACATTCTGGGTTTTATATTTTTTGTGGGAGAAATCTACCAGTGCTGTTCTTGTGTTGGTGGTTGTGAGACCAGTCTGGCTGTTGTGTTGGTGGTCATGAGACCAGTCTGGCTGTTGTGTTGGTGGTCATGAGACCAGTCTGGCTGTTGTGTTGGTGGTCATGAGACCAGTCTGGCTGTTGTGTTGGTGGTCATGAGACCAGTCTGGCTGTTGTGAGAGCCTCCTGGCTGTTGTGAGAGCCTCCTGGCTGTTGTGAGAGCCTCCTGGCTGTTGTAAGAGCCGCCTGGTTCTTGTGAGAGCCTCCTGGTTCTTGTGAGAGCCGCCTGGTTCTTGTGAGAGCCTCCTGGCTCTTGTGAGAGCCTCCTGGCTGTTGTAAGAGCCGCCTGGTTCTTGTGAGAGCCTCCTGGTTCTTGTGAGAGCCGCCTGGCTCTTGTGAGAGCCTCCTGGCTCTTGTGAGAGCCTCCTGGCTCTTGTGAGAGCCTCCTGGCTCTTGTGAGAGCCTAATGGCTGTTGTAAGAGCCTCCTGGTTCTTGTGAGAGCCTCCTGGTTCTTGTGAGAGCCTCCTGGCTCTTGTGAGAGCCTCCTGGCCTCCTGGCTCTTGTGAGAGCCTCCTGGCCTCCTGGCTCTTGTGAGAGCCTCCTGGCCTCCTGGCTCTTGTGAGAGCCTCCTGGCTCTTGTGAGAGCCTCCTGGCTCTTGTAAGAGCCTCCTGGCTCTTGTGAGAGCCTCCTGGCTCTTGTAAGAGCCTCCTGGCTCTTGTGAGAGCCTCCTGGCTCTTGTAAGAGCCGCCTGTCTGGCGCCTCAACACGTGCTTGTAACAACCT